CAGACCACTTCAGTCCACGCAGTGTGTTGTCCATGAGTCGTTCGAACGTGGCAGGAGCATTACAAAGCCCAAATGGCATTACGTTAAATTCGTACAGGCCATCTGGTGTAATGAACGCAGTTTTCTGGCGATCAGCTTCTGCCATAGGAACCTGCCAGTATCCAGATCGTAAGTCTAAGGAGGAGAAGAATTCGGCTCCTTGGAGGCTGTCAAGGGCGTCGTCGATGCGCGGTAATGGATAGACGTCTTTCCGCGTCACCTTGTTTAATCGCCGGTAGTCGACGCAAAATCGAATCGATCCATCCTTCTTTCGAACTAGAACGACAGGAGATGCCCAAGGACTGTGCGATGGTTGAATAACGCGACGGCGTAGCATCTCTTCGACCTGGTCGTTGATGACGTGACGTTCTGCTGCAGAGACACGGTACGGTCTTTGACGCAATGGCTGGTGCGAACCGGTGTCAATGTAGTGGTGCACTGCGGAAGTCCGACCCAATTGCGCCTGAGAAACGTCGAATGAATTCGCGAAGTGCTGGAGAAGATTAAGAAGCTCGGCGCGTTCATGGGCACTTAAGGTGTCGGCGATGGAACTCGAGAAGGTGTCACTCGATGAGCATTCCAGTGGGGAAAGGGCATGAAGTTCGGTCGAGGCGCTACTGCACGATTCGTCTGGCATGTTAAGGAATAAAGAGGAATCGAGGTACTCCACTCGACCGAGACATTCGCCGGCAAGTAGCGTAAGCGGTGCAGAAAGGGGGTTGTGGACGAAAATATTGCTTCGGCCCGCAGTGACGTCGAGTGTAGCGAAAGGCAAGGAAACGGCTCTGCGGCTCATGAAAATGTCGGAAGGTGTAAACATTACTGTAGCGTCGTTAGGGTCATCGCAGCAAACAGGGACAACGGCAAGAGAGGCTGGCGGAATTTCAGTGTCTTCACGTACGACGAGTTTTGGAGACCGCTCAAGAGTTTCGTGCAAAGGTTCGTCATACAGGTGCGAAAATTGAACTTCAGCGCGTGCGCAGTCGATGACGGCATGATGTTGTGACAGGAAGTCCCACCCGAGGATAACGTCATGCGAGCACACCGAAAGGACGATGAACTCGACAACGTACATAGAGCCTTGGATGAAAATGCGGGCTGTACAGGTGCCGAGAGGTCTGACTGGCTGTGCGCTAGCCGTACGAAGCGATAGTCCAGAGAGCGGCGTGGTCACTTTGCGGAGGGAGCGGCAGAGCTGGGCGGCTATAACAGAAACGGCAGCACCTGTGTCGATGAGGGCAAATGTAGAAACACCATCGACAGATAAGGCGACGACGTTAGCAGGTGAAGTGCGAGGACTTGGGCATTTCGATGACGGCGCAGTTCTTGCCTCTGGAACTGCGGCGTTCAGTTTTCCCGGTTGGAGGAAGCGGGTCGGGGACGCATTGGGGACAGAGATCGCCTGCGAGGAGACGGCGAGCGGGAAGAGTGAGTCGGAGCTGGGCGCTGGGGTGACTGAGACCCGGGAAGATTAGTGTAGCCATACTGCGGTGAAGGATAGGGAGCAGGTAGGTGCGTGGGCGGCGGGTCATACGGTAACGGCCAAGTAGCGTTGTGTTGCGATTGGAAACGACGACGACAATATCGTGCCACGTGTCCTGGAGTACCGCAGGCGTAGCAGATTGGTCGATTGTCAGCAGTGCGCCAGGAATTGCTGACTCGCGGTGCAGCCCAAGGTGTCGAAAGAGGGGTAGAGTGGGGAGCAACTGCAGGCATGGGTGGCAAAAGCTGCTGGCGGGGTCTGCTGCGTACCACCTGGGCATAAGTAAGAGGCGCGGCCACGGGCTGCATAGCCGGCGCATGGGGAACAGTCACGGCCACAGGCTGCTGGTGGGCAGCGACGGGAACAGCCTGAGCTACCTCTTCGGCAATAACGTCGCGGAGTGGTGAGGGCAGACGAGAGGACGGCGGCTGCTGCGTGAAGGGAATCAACGACAGTTGCCGAGCTACTTCTTCACGCACGAAGTCTTTAATCTCTTGCAGGGTTGGTGCGTGGTCGGGAACGGAAGTGAGACTGGAGAGCGAGTCGGCGTGTGAGGAAAATGGCCGAGTCAGGGCGCGCTGCTTGCTCAACTCGTCGAAACTTTGACACAAAGTAACAAGTTCCGCAACGGTGGCAGGATTACGGGCGAGGAGCAGCTGATATGCACCGTCATTTATCCCTTTGAGGATGTGTTGAATCTTCTCCGACTCGGGCATGGTGGTGTTCAGTCGGTTGCAAAGTCCAATGATGTCTTCAATGTAGCTTGTGAAAGATTCCGTTGGTTTTTGTGCGCGAGTCCGCAAGCGTTGTTCGGCTCTGGAAGTGCGGACAGCGGGTCGGCCAAAAACGTCAGCGAACAACGTTTTGAAGATGGACCACGTCGTAATGTCGTTTTTGTGGTTGTTATACCACATTTCGGCTACGTCAGTGAGGTAAAAGATGACGTAAGTCAATTTGTCCGCGTCATCCCACTTGTTGTTTGCGCTTACCAGTTCGTAGTTAGCGAACCAGTCTTCCACGTCAGTCTCATCAGCTCCGCTAAAGACTTTGGGCTCTCGCAAACGAAGAACGCCGGGGTTGCTGGGGGATGGAGTGGAAGAGCCAGGTTGCGCGTTGTTGGTAGCCATGATGGTAGGTAGCGTTCGGTTGCGCAGCTCCAGGTTGAGGCGACGGCGAATGGCAGCACCCAGGTTCAGGCGACGGGGAATGTCAGCACCCTCCACCAATTGAAAAAGGGTTTATTGGTGACTGTTGCGATGGTGGTCCTACGATGAAACACGATCGGACAAGAGCAACGGTCGAGCAGATGCCGGCGATGATCAGCACGAGCCGAGCGAGCGAAGCCAAGCACCCAGTACCCAAGCGGTGGCGATGTTGTTTGACAACGATGCGTTTTCTTCTTCACAATATATATATATATATATATATATATATATATATATATATATATATATATATATATATATATATATATATATATATATATATATATATATATATATATATATATATATATATATATATTTATATATATATCATCGGGGGATGAGTTATACTCATCCCCTGATGAAGGGAGGTCCCCTCCCGAAACTGTTGGGAAATAATATATTTATCCTTGTTGACAACGCTCCCGTTGTGCCATATCCCATACCTATATATATATATATATATATATATATATATATATATATATATATATATATATATATATATATATATATATATATATATATATATATATATATATATATATATATATATATATATATATATATATATATATATATATATAAATATACCTATCTATCTAGCCGCCTACGACCTTGTGCACTTCTTAGCATATCATTAAAGGGATGTACACCCAAAATTGGTATACATACCGTTATACATTGATTGGTACACTCGCAGCCGTTTCATTGCATAGATATATGCCAAATATGCTATGACGACATATTTTTTTACAAATAACATAAATTAAGGGTGCGGTAATGGGAAAACCATGACATGTATGTCACGAATGGGCTCACATGCATGTCACGTTCATGGTGTGCTTGCGGTTATTTTGCTATAGCTTGGTTTATACCAAAAAAATATGACGTGACCATAGGTCAGCAAAAGTTATACAGCTCATTCAGACTTAGGCTCACGGCTTGATCTCAGTTTGATTGAGTCGACTCGTGGGTGAGTTCGTCAACCTATGCACGTGACTGCATGATGAACATAAAGAGCAAATGGTAACATGTAAATTATGACATACAATCATGCACCACGTGATTTACATGCCGGGCTCTTGGTGTGCTTGCGGCAATTTCGCTAGCTTAATATACAGTGAAATTTGAATTGCATACCACTGTATGATGACCATAAATGACATTTCCTAACATGCAAATCATAATATCCACGTCTTAATTGTACAGCATGGTTTCTTCCTTCCTGGCTGCTTCGCATTATGCATCGATTCCTGTATACTGTGCATGGGATCTGTCTTTTCTTTTTCTTTTCAAGAAGAGCATCCTGCTCCTTGAGAGCCAAAAAAATGTCATAAAACTAAAATATAGTCTAGCCTTATGACGCTGTTGTTTACGTTACAGTAACGTGATGCACTGTGAGTGTCAACGAAAGCTACTGTGCATGCTCCTCACAGCAGCGAACCCATGAGTGGGGCAATGTTAGAATGGCGTGTATGAATTGCTGTGTGAATATACATATAACAACTATATATATATATATATATATATATATATATATATATATATATATATATATATATACACCTGCAGCAATGTTTTTCAGTGTTCTGCTGTAACAATGCTTCAGAAACAGGCGGAAACTCTGGATTAGTGTCCATCATGTAAACTTACAGGTGATTTTGCGGGAACATTTATAAAGTACATGTAGCTATAGTTCGTAGTATGCTCCATGTAATTTAACTGATATTTTAATGTGCTGAACCGAATGGCAGCCGGTAATGTGATCTAGAGTCTGCAGTCTACATTTCTTCGGCGGAAAATTTTCGACTGCAGATCCAGCAATTTTCTCGCGTACACTGGTGCCATTTTAGATGCCAAGCATGTTATGGTCGAGCTCAATGCTCTGTGCGGCGTGACCACCCTTGCAGCGCATGCGCGTCTCCTCCGCGTCTCTATTTTTTCCTACACTCCCTCTTCTTTTGACTCGCACCAGCGACGCAAGCAGCATCTGATAGCGAGTTCCTTGATAAAAAAATGAGTGCTAGCACTGCACAACCGTTCACTGGCCACCCCGTATTAGGCACTGGATATTGACCTGCAAGGTAGTGCTGGTAATAGTCTCTTGTGCGTTGTTGAACAATGAAAGTGAGCAGAGTGCGCGTTATACTAAGTTAAAAGTGTATTGAGGGTCTCTGCATTTAATAAGAGTCTTGTGTCTCTCACCCATTAGCAGTGATTGGCATTTTACAGTAAGAAACACCGGTCCATCACTGTGTGGCTTGCACGGGTCATGTGCGTCGAAAGAACGTTTATTGAACGATAGCGCTCTCATATATACATTCTATGCCGAGGGGCGTTGCCCCCAATCTGGCGCACGTGTGCATGACTGTCACATCTCCCTTCTTAAACAAACAAAAAGACTAAAGTTCCGGCATGGGGTATCTTTGCGGTGGCCGGCGATTGCGTTCGCTTCTGCGTAGTTGTGGCTCGGCGGGGCCCACGTCAGCTTGATGTTCTTGTGTGGGGGGCACCAGTGGAGTGGGGGCCAGACGGAGATGTTCTCTGGTGCGCTGCAACTGGAGTCCATCTTCGGTCTCAACAATGTAGGCTCTCGGACTGTTGGCAGGCTTGATAACCGTAGCAGGGGACCAGGTCTTTGATGGTACGTTGTACACTGTGACGCGGGAGCCCTCAGGAAGTCCTGGTAGCGGCCTTGTACCCCTGTTGTAGTAGGAACGTTGTCTACTTCTGATGACGTGGAGCCGCCGTTGAACCTCCTCTGGCGGTATGGTCTGCGGTCGCAGGTGGGTTTCCGTGACTGGCAGCAGCGTCCTCGCATTTCGGCCCATGAGTCTCTGCATTGGAGATTTCAAATAGGAATCGCGAGGAGTGTTTCTCCATTCAAGCAATGCAGCACAAAAATCCACTGTGCCGTACCGATACCTCTTCAGCAATTTTTTGGCTTCTTGCACCGCACGTTCAGCCATTCCGTTTGATCGAGGGTGATAGGGGCTGGAGCGAACATGGTGCAAGCTAATCTTACCGACAAATTCACGAAAGTCCTGGCTGCTGAATGGCGGTCCATTGTCCGTGCATAGGCGCTGCGGGAAGCCATGAGTGGCGAATATGTCTGCGAAGGCAGCAATCACCTTGTCGGCTGTCGTCTTCACGGGCCTGATTTCGAAAAAGAAAGAATAAAAGTCAACAACCACCAAGTACTCGGTAGCATTGTGATAGCATATGTCGGCTCCCACAACTTCCCAGGGTAGGCTAGGAATTTCATGGTTCATCAATGGCAAGCGCCGATTTCGTGGCTTGTGCTTTTGGCAGGTCTCACAGCGTCGAGCAACTTCCTCTAGATCGCTGTTTATAGAAGGCCAAAAAAGTACAGCTCGAGCACGTGCTTTCATTTTTTCTGCTCCCCCATGCGCTGCATGAAGGCAGGCAAGAACTTCGCTGCGCATCTTGGCCGGAATGATGAGGCGGTTGCTCCTGAATACAAGGCCATCTTGCGTATGCAGCTCGTCGCGGAAGCTCCAGTAGCATCGTAGCTCGCTGCTGACGTCAGCTTTGCTCTCCGGCCACTGACTGCTTGCGTACTGTCGAAGTTTCACCATCACAGGGTCCTGGTCGGTCTCTTGTAGAACTTGGCTCAGCCGTCTGTCTGAAACCTGCAGGCAAGCAATGGTGTTCAACTGATAATTCAGGCACTGTTCTTTCAATATTGCTTGGCTCGGGGACCGTGATAAAGCGTCAGCAACAAACAGCTGTTTTCCAGGTGTGTATTTGACGACTATCGGGTACCTCTGCAAGCTGAGGCGCATGCGCTGAAGCCTTAGAGGACATTGGCATAACGGCTTCTTAAATATAATTTCTAGTGGCTTGTGATCGGATTCTACCACAACTTCAGGCTGCCCGAAAAGATAGTCGCGGAATCTTTCACAGCCGTGGACAATTGCCAGCATCTCCTTTTCGATCTGGGCGTACCTTTGCTGTGTTTCTGTCAAGGAACGCGACGAATACGCTAGTGGATGCCCGTCCTGTATGATCACTGCGCCAACTCCGTTCTGACTGGCATCTACCGACAGCCTGATTGGTTTCCCCTTCTCGTAGTAGCTTAGTACAGGGGCTGTCGCAAGCGCTTCCTTCAGAGCCTTGAAGCTTGCATCTTGGCGGTCCTCCCAAAGCCACGCGACATTCTTCTTTAGTAATTCTCGAAGTGGTGCTGTTAGGTCCGACATATTCGGAATAAAGCGAGAGACAAAATTTACCATGCCCAGGAACGTCTGCAGCTCTTTCTGGTTGCTTGGCGTCTGGACTTGCAAGATGTCTTCTAGCCGCTGTGGATCCAGGCTCAGGCCGTCGCGCGTCAAAATGTGTCCCAAGTACCGGACGGACTCCTGTAAAAAACGGCATTTCTTTCTGTTCAATTTCAGTTTGTACTCTCGGCAACGTCGTAGGACGTGTTCAAGGTTTGCATCATGCTGCTCTCTTGTTCGGCCCCACACTAGAATGTCGTCCATGACAACCGCTACGCCTTCGAGGCCTTCTAGCACGCGGTGCATGGCCCGCTGAAATATTTCCGGCGCCGACGAGATTCCAAAGGGCATGCGCAAAAATCTATAACGGCCGTATGGAGTGCACATAGTGCAAATCTTAGAGCTTTCTTTATCCAGCTTGATTTGCCAGAAACCGGAGGCTGCGTCCAAAGTTGTAAAGTACTGGGCCCCACTTATCGAAGGTGCTATGTCTTCCAATGTTGGCATTGGATAGTGCTCGCGAAGCAGAGCTTTGTTTAGGTCGGAAGGATCAAGACAAATGCGTACCTTCTCTCCTTTTGTAACAACGACCATGTTGCTGGCCCACTCTGTCGGCTCGGTCACTTTCACGATGACTCCAGCAGTCTCCATGCGGTCGAGCTCAGCTTTCACCTTGCTTTGCAATGCTATTGGAATCCGCCGTGCTGGTTTCACTACTCCCTGGGACCCGGGCTTGAGCTTTAGATGGTAGACAATACCCTCCAGTTGACCCAGACCTTCAAACACGTCTTCGTAAGGCTTGGCAGTGCCGTAAAGCTCTAGTTGGTCGACAGAGCAGACACGTTGGAGCAAGCCAAGCTCTTCGGCAACTGTACCGCTCAAGGTCACGGCGATTTCGTCATCCACGACGAAAAACTCTGTCAGAATCTTGCTTTCTCTCGTTGCCACTTCAAGACGAACTTGTTTCGTCGCTTTTTTCTGGAAGCCAAAAAATGTGTTTAAAACAACGTTGCAATCAAGTGGCTGCTTGTTTGTTATTTTCTGCAGCTGGCTGCGTGCTATAACCGAGCATGTTGCGCCTGTGTCTAACTTGCAAAAAATAGGCTTTCCTTCTATCTCAACGGTGGCCGTCCAGCGGTCGTCTTTCCCACGGGCATGCGATAGCGTTTCTAACCAGAAATCGCCTTCTTCTGCATCGACAGATGCTACTGCGTGCTCTTTCGAATGAAATCTTTTTTGCATCTTCTTGCAGGCTATCGCAAAGTGATTTCTGCCACCGCATTTCCTGCACGTGCGTCCCTTTGCTGGGCACACACGGTCGGTCTGATGAACCTTTGCGCACTTTGTACAACGCTGACCTTTCGCTTCAGATAGCGCGTTCATCTCGGCTGCGTAATCGCTTTTCGGGCGCGCCTGTATCTCTTCACACTGTTCTTTGCCATGTTCACGAGAGCGACACATTTCTACGGTCTTCGTGAAAGAAGCATTTTCGGAGATTAGCTTTTCTTGCAGCTTTTTATCTCTAATTCCGAGAATAATACGGCTTCTCAGCATACGCTCTTCAAGCTGCCCAAACTCGCAGCTTTTTGCTAGCACTCTGAGGTCTGTCAGCCAGTCATTGAAACTTTCACCGTCCTTTTGGTCGCACTTTCCAAAGCGGAACTCATGGTAGGCTAAGTTTAGAGCTGGTTTGTAAAATGCCTCAAACTTCATTTTCAGTACTTCTACGTCCGACTTCTCTTCGTCAGTTGCAAAATCAAGAGTGCTGTACGTCTTGCGTGCGTCCTCTCCGATAATCATAAGAAAGGTGGCTGCCTGTACCTCTTTCGGTTGCTGGTTCAGGTATGTTGCCGTTGCGAAGAGCTCGAACTCTTGCCGCCATGTCTTCCAGCTTCGCCATACGTCTCCTGTGGTGTCCAGGGCTTTCGGCGGTGGCAATAGCGTGGTGACTGGTCCGCTGGCCTGCTGGCGCTGTTCCCCGTTCTGCATGCTTGTAGCTGGTTGGGACCTCCGAGCCGCCCCTGTTGGCTTGCTACGCGTCCGCTGTTCGTTCGCCGGCTGCGTGTATCGGCTGCGGTCCGACCACTTCTGACACCATGTGGCTTGCACGGGTCATGTGCGTCGAAAGAACGTTTATTGAACGATAGCGCTCTCATATATACATTCTATGCCGAGGGGCGTTGCCCCCAATCTGGCGCACGTGTGCATGACTGTCACAACTGCGTGCTTAGCGCCTCGTCCCCAGGTTGATCTGCGCAACGCCGCGATGAGAGCCAGCGTCAACGGCGTCACCTGTGTAAGCGTTAGAGCCCGCTGCTTCACACGTATTCATGGTTCCCTTTAGTGGGAGAGAGCCATTTTTCTTCCACCATCAGTTTGTCTATCGGCGCACATCGCAGACTGCGCAGCTCGTAAGCAGGAGCCGTACATTAGGAATTAGTCCTGCATGCCTGACCACATGCACCGCGTACCACGAGATTTTAATTATTTATCCCCCATCTGCAGCAGTTAACCCAAACATCCCTGCGCACGCAATCAAAGCCACGCCACTTCAATCTATCTATATAACTCTGTGACAACTAAGACATCATGTGCAAAGATGGCACGTGGCTAAGTTACTCAAGGACTCATGCAAATTCAACTTGCTATCAACCAGCTATAGTTCCCAAACTGAGCATTTAAAGAAATGTAACAGCTATTATCACATCAGGTAGTGCCTCTCACTCACATAATAGCCTGCCAAATGTGAGCAGCTTTAATACACCAACAGGTGGGTACGATGAATAAGGCACATATCCTTTGACTACTGCACTTCATTTACTTATAGGCTTTCCGCAATGCTTTCCCAATGCAGTGAAGCTTAATCATCCTTTGGTAATTGTCTTTTTGTCTCCCTGGAACCGACGTGCCAAGATGCTTATTTGGTCAGAGCAGTCGCAAATGCTTATATTTGTTTGATGCACAAGTGGCCTGTGCATGCGTTCATTTCGTATCATGTAATGCTCTTTTTCTCACGCGGGCTTTAACGCAGTGCTTTCGCCATGCAGTGAAGCTTAATCATCTTTTGGTAATTGTCTTTTTGTCTCCCTGGAACGGACGTGCCAAGATGCATATTTGGCCTGAGCAGTCGCAAATGCTTATATTTGTTTGATGCACAAGTGGCCTGTGCATGCGTTCATTTCGTATGATGTAATGCTCTTCTGCTCACGCTGGCTTTACCGCAGTGTTTTTAGATGCAGTGAAGCTTGATCATATTTTAGTATTTGTCCTTTTGTTTGCCTGAAACGGACGTGCCAAGATGCATAACTGGCCTGAGCAGTCGCAAATGCTTATATTTGTTTGTTGCACAAGTGGCCTGTGCTAAGTTTATTTCGTATCATTTAATGATCTTCTGCTCACGCTGGCTTTACCGCAGTTCTTCGCCATGCAGTCAACCCTAATCATCCTTTGGTAATTGTCTTTTTGTCTGTTTGAAAAGGACGCGCCAAGATGCATATTTGACCTGAGCAGTCGCAAATGCTTATATTTGTTTCATGCACAAGTGGCCTGTGCATGCGTTCATTTCGTATCGTGTAATGCTCTACAGCTCACGCTGGCTTTACCGCAGTGCTCTTTAGATGCAGTGAAGCTTGATCATATTTAGTATTTGTCCTTTTGTTTGCCTGAAACGGACTTGCCAAGATGCATAATTGGCCTGAGCAGTCGCAAATGCTTATATTTGTTTGTTGCACAAGTGGCCTGTACATGCATTTATTTCGTATCATTTAATGCTCTTCTGCTCACGCTGGCTATACCGCAGTTCTTCGCCATGCAGTCAACCCTAATCATCTTTAGGTAATTGTCTTTTTGTCTGTTTGAAAAGGACGCGCCAAGATGCACATTTGGCCTGAGCAGTCGCAAATGTTTATATTTGTTTGATGCACAAGTGGCCTGTGCATGCGTTCATTTGGTATCATGTAAAGCTCTTCTGCTCACGCTGGCTTTACCGCAGTGCTTTCGCGATGCAGTGAAGCTTAATTATCCTTTGGTAATTGTCTTTTTGTCTGTTTGAAAAGGACGCGCCAAGATGCATATTTGGCCTGAGCAGTCGCAAATGTTTATATTTGTTTGATGCACAAGTGGCCTGTGCATGCGTTCATTTCGTATCATGTAAAGCTCTTCTGCTCACGCCGGCTTTACCGCAATGCTTTCGCCATACAGTGAAGCTTAATCATTTTTTGGTAATTGTCTTTTTGTCTGTTTGAAAAGGACGCGCCAAGATGCAGATTTGGCCTGAGCAGTCGCAAATGGTTATATTTGTTTGATGCACAAGTGGCCTGTGCATGCGTTCATTTCGTATCATGTAATGCTCTTCTGCTCACGCTGGATTTACCGCAGTGCTTTCGCCATGCAGTGAAGCTTATTCATCTTTTGGTAACTGTCTTTTTGTGTCCCTGGAACGGACGTGCCAAGATGCATATTTGGCCTGAGCAGTCGCAAATGCTTATATTTGTTTGATGCACAAGTGGCCTGTGCATGCGTTCATTTCGTATCATGTAATGCTCTTCTGCTCACGCTGGCTTTACCGCAGTGCTTTCGCGATGCAGTGAAGCTTAATCATCTTTTCGTAATTGTCTTTTTGTCTCTTTGGAACGGAAGTGCCAAGATGCATATTTGGCCTGAGCAGTCACAAATGCTTACATTTGTTTGATGCACAAGTGGCCTGTGCATGCGTTCATTTCGTATCATGTAATGCTCTTCTGCTCACGCTGGCTTTACCGCAGTGCTTTCGCGATGCAGTGAAGATTAATCATCCTTTGGTAATTGCCTTTTTGTCTCCCTGGAACGGAAGTGCCAAGATGCATATTTGGCCAGAGCAGTCGCAAATGTTTATATTTGTTTGATGCACAAGTGGCCTGTGCATGCGTTCATTTCGTATCGTGTAATGCTCTTCTGCTCACGCTGGCTTTACCGCAGTGCTTTCGCGATGCAGTGAAGCTTAATCATCTTTGGTAATTGTCTTTTTGTCTCTTTGAACGGAAGTGCCAAGATGCATATTTGGCCTGAGCAGTCGCAAATGCTTACATTTGTTTGATGCACAAGTGGCCTGTGCATGCGTTCATTTCGTATCATGTAATGCTCTTCTGCTCACGCTGGCTTTACCACAGTGCTTTCGCGATGCAGTGAAGATTAATCATCTTTTGGTAATTGCCTTTTTGTCTCCATGGAACGGAAGTGCCAAGATGCATATTTGGCCAGAGCAGTCGCAAATGTTTATATTTGTTTGATGCACAAGTGGCCTGTGCATGTGTTCATTTTGTATCATGTAAAGCTCTTCTGCTCACGCCGGCTTTACCGCAGTGCTTTCGCGATGCAGTGAAGCTTAATCATCTTTTGGTAATTGTCTTTTTGTCTGTTTGAAAAGGACACGCCAAGATGCATATTTGGCCTAAGCAGTCGCAATTGTTTATATTTGTTTGATGCGCAAATGGCCTTTGCATGCGTTCATTTCGTATCATGTAAAGCTCTTCTGCTCACAGCGGCTTTACCGCAGTGCTTTGCCACGCAGTGAAGCTTAATCATCTTTTGGTAATTGTATTTTTGTCTCCCTGGAACGGGCGTGCTAAGATGCATATTTGGCCTGAGCAGTCGCAAATGCTTATATTTGTTTCATGCAAAAGTGGCCTGTGCATGCGTTCATTTCGTATCATGTAATGCTCTTCTGCGCACGCTGGCTTTAGCGCAGTGCTTTCGCCATGCAGTGAAGCTTAATCATCTTTTGGTAATTGTCTTTTTGTCTCCCTGGAACGGACGTGCCAAGATGCTTATTTGGTCAGAGCAGTCGCAAATGCTTATATTTATTTGATGCACAAGTGGCCTGTGCATGCGTTCATTTCGTATCATGTAATGCTCTTCTGCTCACGCTGGCTTTAGCGCAGTGCTTTCGCCATGCAGTGAAGCTTAATCATCTTTTGGTATTGTCTTTTTGTCTCCCTGGAACGGACGTGCCAAGATGCACATTTGGCCTGAGCAGTCGCAAATGTTTATATTTGTTTGATGCACAAGTCGCCTGTGCATGCGTTCATTTCGTATCATATAAAGCTCTTCTGCTCACGCTGGCTTTACCGCAGTGCTTTCGCGATGCAGTGAAGCTTAATCATCTTTTGGTAATTGTCTTTTTGTCTCCTTGAAAAGGACGTGCCAAGATGCATATTTGGCCTGAGCAGTCGCAAATGCTTATATTTGTTTGATGCACAAGTGGCCTGTGCATGCGTTCATTTCGTATCATGTAAAGCTCTTCTGCTCACGCTGGCTTTACCGCAGTGCTTTCGCGATGCAGTGAAGCTTAATCATCTTTTGGTAATTGTCTTTTTGTCTCGTTGAAAGGACGTGCCAAGATGCATATTGGCCTGAGCAGTCGCAAATGCTTATATTTGTTTGATGCACAAGTGGCCTGTGCATGCGTTCATTTCGTATCATGTAATGCTTTTCTGCTCACGCTGGCTTTACCGCAGTGCTTTCTCGATGCAGTGAAGCTTAATCATCTTTTGGTAATTGTCTTTTTGTCTGTTTGAAAAGGACGCGCCAAGATGCATATTTGGCCTGAGCAGTCGCAAATGTTTATATTGTTTGATGCACAAGTGGCCTGTGCATGCGTTCATTTCGTATCATGTAAAGCTCTTCTGCTCACGCCGGCTTTACCGCAGTGCTTTCGCGATGCAGTGAAGCTTAATCATCTTTTGGTAATTGTCTTTTTGTCTGTTTGAAAAGGACGCGCCAAGATGCATATTTGGCCTGAGCAGTCGCAAATGTTTATATTTGTTTGATGCACAAGTGGCCTGTGCATGCGTTCATTTCGTATCATGTAAAGCTCTTCTGCTCACGCTGGCTTTACCGCAGTGCTTTCGCGATGCAGTGAAGCTTAATCATCTTTTGGTAATTGTCTTTTTGTCTGTTTGAAAAGGACGCGCCAAGATGCATATTTGGCCTGAGCAGTCGCAAATGCTTATATTTGTTTGATGCACAAGTGGCCTGTGCATGCGTTCATTTCGTATCATGTAATGCTCTTCTGCTAACGCTGACTTTACCGCAGTGCTTTCGCGATGCAGTCAAGCTTAATCATCTTTTGATAATTGTCTTTTTGTATGTTTGGAAAGGACGTGCCAAGATGCATATTTGGCCTGAGGAGTTGCAAATGCATATATTCGTTTGATGCACAAGTGGCCTGTGCATGCGTTCATTTCGTATACATGTAATGCTCTTCTGCTCACGCCTGGCTTTACCGCAGTGCTTTCGCATGCAGTGAAGCTTAATCATCTTTGGTAATTGTCTTTTTGTCTGTCTGAAATAGGACGGCCAAGATGCATATTTGGCCTGAGCAGTCGCAAATGTTTATATTTGTTTGATGCACAAGTGGCCTGTGCATGCGTCATTTCGTATCATGTAAAGCTCTTCTGCTCACGCTGGCTTTACCGCAGTGCTTTCGCGCATGCAGTGAAGCTTAATCATCTTTTGGTAATTGTCTTTTTGTCTCCTGAAAAGGACGTGCCAAGATGCATATTTGCCTGAGCAGTCGCAAATGTTTATATTTGTTTGATGCACAAGTGGCCTGTGCATGCGTTCATTTCGTATCATGTAAGCTCTTCTGCTCACGCTGGCTTTACCGCAGTGCTTTCGCGATGCAGTGAAGCTTAATCATCTTTTGGTAATTGTCTTTTTGTCTGTCCTGAACGGACGTGCCAAGATGCATATTTGTCCTGAGCAGTCGCAAATGTTTATATTGTTTGATGCACAAGTGGCCTGTGCATGCGTTCATTTCGTATCATGTAAAGCTCTTCTGCTCACGCTGGCTTTACCGCAGTGCTTTCGCGATGCAGTGAAGCTTAATCATCTTTTGGTAATTGTCTTAAGCCTTCTGAATCGGACGTGCCAAGATGCATATTTGGCCTGAGCAGTCGCAAATGTTTATATTTGTTTGATGCACAAGTGGCCTGTGCATGCGTTCATTTCGTATCATGTAATGCTCTTCTGCTCACGCTGGCTTTACCGCAGTGCTTTCGCGATGCAGTGAAGCTTAATCATCTTTTGGTAATTGTCTTTTTGTCTCGCTGGAACGGACGTGCCAAGATGCATATTTGGCCTGAGCAGTCGCAAATGTTTATATTTGTTTGATGCACAAGTGGCCTGTGCATGCGTTCATTTCGTATCATGTAAAGCTCTTCTGCTCACGCTGGCTTTACCGCAGTGCTTTCGCGATGCAGTGAAGCTTAATCATCTTTTGGTAATTGTCTTTTTGTCTGTTTGAAAAGGACACGCCAAGATGCATATTTGGCCTGAGCAGTCGCAAATGTTTATATTTGTTTGATGCACAAGTGGCCTGTGCATGCGTTCATTTCGTATCATGTAATGCTCTTCTGCTCACGCTGGCTTTACCGCAGTGCTTTGGCTATGCAGTGAAGCTTAATCAGCTTTTGGTAATTGTCTTTTTGTCTCCCTGGAACGGACGTGCCAAGATGCATATTTGGCCTGAGCAGTCGCAAATGCTTATATTTGTTTGATGCACAAGTGGCCTGTGCATGCGTTCATTTCGTATCATGTAATGCTCTTCTGCTCACGCTGGCTTTACCGCAGTGCTTTCGCGATGCAGTGAAGCCTAATCATCTTTGGTAATTGTCTTTTTGTCTCCTGAAACGGACGTGCCAAGATGCATATTTGGCCTGAGCAGTCGCAAATGTTTATATTTGTTTGATGCACAAGTGGCCTGTGCATGCGTTCATTTCGTATCATGTAAATGCTCTTCTTCTCACCCTGTCTTTACCGCAGTGCTTTCGCGATGCAGTGAAGCTTAATCATCTTTTGGTAATTGTCTTTTTGTCTCGCTGGAACGGACGTGCCAAGATGCATATTTGGCCTGAGCAGTCGCAAATGTTTATATTTGTTTGATGCACAAGTGGCCTGTGCATGCGTTCATTTCGTATCATGTAAAGCTCTTCTGCTCACGCTGGCTTTACCGCAGTGCTTTCGCGATGCAGTGAAGCTTAATCATGTTTTGGTAATTGTCTTTTTGTCTCCCTGGAACGGACGTGCCAAGATGCATATTTGGCCTGAGCAGTCGCAAATGTTTATATTTGTTTGATGCACAAGTGGCCTGTGCATGCGTTCATTTCGTATCATGTAAAGCTCTTCTGCTCACGCTGGCTTTACCGCAGTGCTTTCGCGATGCAGTGAAGCTTAATCATCTTTTGGTAATTGTCTTTTTGTCTGCTTGAAACGGACGTGCCAAGATGCATAATTGGCCTGAGCAGTCGCAAATGCTTATATTTGTTTGATGCACAAGTGGCCTGTGCATGCGTTAATTTCGTAACATGTAATGCTTTTCTGCTCACGCTGGCTTTACCGCAGTGCTTTTCGATGCAGTGAAGCTTAATCATGTTTTGGTAATTGTCTTTTTGTCTGTATGAAAAGGACACGCCAAGATGCATATTTGGCCTGAGCAGTCGCAAATGTTTATATTTGTTTGATGCGCAAGTGGCCTGTGCATGCGTTCATTTCGTATCATGTAAAGCTCTTCTGCTCACGGCGGCTTTACCGCAGTGCTTTTGCCATGCAGTGAAGCTTAATCATGTTTTGGTAATTGTCTTTTCGCCTCGCTGGAACTGGACGTGCCAAGATGCATAATTGGCCTGAGCAGTCGCAAATGCTTATATTTGTTTCATGCACAAGTGGCCTGTGCATGCGTTCATTTCGTATCATGTAATGCTCTTCTGCTCACGCTGGCTTTACCGCAGTGCTTTCGCGATGCAGTGAAGCTTATTCAATTTTTGGTAATTGTCTTTTTGTCTGTTTGAAAAGGACGCGCCAAGATGCATATTTGTCATGAGCAGTCGCAAATGTTTATATTTGTTTGATGCACAAGTGGCCTGTGCATGCGTTCATTTCGTATCATGTAAAGCTCTTCTGCTCACGCTGGGTTTACCGCAGTGCTTTCGCGATGCAGTGAAGCTTAATCATCTCTTGGTAATTGTCTTTTTGTCTGTTTGAAAAGGACGCGCCAAGATGCATATTTGGCCTGAGCAGTCGCAAATGTTTATATTTGTTTGATGCACAAGTGGCCTGTGCATGCGTTCATTTCGTATCATGTAATGCTCTTCTGCTCACGCTGGCTTTACCGCAGTGCTTTCGCGATGTAGTGAAGCTTAATTATCTTTTGGCAATTGTCTTTTTGTCTCCCTGGAACGGACGTGCCAAGATGCATATTTGGCCTGAGCAGTCGCAAATGTTTATATTTGTTTGATGCACAAGTGGCCTGTGCATGCGTTCATTTCGTATCATGTAAAGCTCTTCTGCTCACGCTGGCTTTACCGCAGTGTTTTCGCGATGCAGTGAAGCTTAATCATGTTTTGGTAATTGTCTTTTTGTCTCGCTGGAACGGACGCGCCAAGATGCATATTTGGCCTGAGCAGTCGCAAATGCTTATATTTGTTTGATGCACAAGTGGCCTGTGCATGCGTTCATTTCGTATCATGTAAATCTCTTCTGTTCACGCCGGCTTTACCGCAGTGCTTTCACGATGCAGTGAAGCTTAATCATCTTTTGGTAATTGTCTTTTTGTCTGTTTGAAAAGGACACGCCAAGATGCATATTTGGCCTGAGCAGTCGCAAATGTTTATATTTGTTTGATGCGCAAGAGGCCTGTGCATGCGTTCATTTCGTATCATGTAAAGCTCTTCTGCTCACGGCGGCTTTACTGCAGTGCTTTTGCCATGCAGTGAAGCTTAATTATGTTTTGGTAATTGTCTTTTTGTCTCGCTGGAACGGACGTGCCAAGATGCATAATTGGCCTGAGGAGTCGCAAATGCTTATATTTGTTTGATGCACAAGTGGCCTGTGCATGCGTTCATTTCGTAACATGTAATGCTCTTCTGCTCACGCTGGCTTTATTACCGCAGTGCTTTTTCGATGCAGTGAACCTTGATCATATTTTAGTATTTGTCCTTTTGTTTGCCTGAAACGGACGTGCCAAGATGCATATTTGGCCTGAGCAGTCTCAAATGCTCATATTTGTTTGATGCACAAGTGGCCTGTGCATGCGTTCATTTCGTATCATGTAATGTTCTTCTGCTCACGCTGGCTTTACTGCAGTGCTTTCACAAGGCAGTGATGCTTGGCCATACTTGCTTTTACGTGTATTGCGACTTATCAAAGTTTTGTAATAGCTCAACTATTGACGCTAGAGGTGATGCATTCTATGTGAAAGTTATATACTTAACTTCGGGGATTCATGTTTTCATAAAGTTTTCACAATAGATCAGTAAGGTCGAGTTGGAAACTATGCATTCTTTGAAAACAGCCACGAACACGACGAAGACACGAGATGAGAAAGACTCAGTACTTCCCCTTTGTCTTGTGCCTTCGTCGTTTTCACGTTCATTTGCAAGTATCTATCAAAATGCTGAGAACGCTGTTTCACTGCCAGCAACCTTTGGCGTGCAAGAAAGGGAGATAAATTTTCTCTCAGCCTGTAAACCAAGCGATCGCGGCTACTTGATGTGCGATAAATAAAAGACCAAAATTTAGAATGGCCAGCTGATATTGATAACAGGTGCTCATAGCAGCACTTTTTTGCTCTGCACTTGAATTTCTGTCTTATGTAAGGTTATGATCCGGGAATACACAATGACACTACTGCAACCAAGAAAAACTTTACTAACATTATTTGTAAAATAACTGCTACAAAATAGAATGCTGATCCCCTTCTTAGTAGTTGCATAATTTAGCTGGATAAAGACAGCTTCATCCAACTTCCTGACGACTTCACAACAGAGTGAGTCCACAATGTACTGGACCTGTACAAGATGAAGAAAACAGACGAAAAGACAACAGATAAATCAAAGATTTTAAAAATGGCAGCTGAAACTTTCAACTTGCCCACCACAGCAGTGAAAAGACTCCTGTTGTCATGTGTATTTTCTGCCTGTTGGTCCGCGGGCACAAGTGCCAGTCTTGTTTATTAATAGAAGCTCCTTAGCATCACTTCATTGCAAGACGTTTCTCTTTCCGCCACCCGAGAACGTGCTCTGTAGCGGTCAGGCTCCGCCTAGAGACTTGTGGCAGTGTGACGTTAATGTGGGCAATATATACACAGACTTTGGTTGCTTAATTTGTAGCAAACTCATTGTGAGCGAATTTCATAGTTGAATTCATAAAATATTTGAATGTAATATAACACCAAATGCTGAGGCTTTAGAACATTACAAACTCAGCCTGCCTACATTAACAATCCCAGTGCTACAGGCATGCAAGAACTGCTTGCATAATCATGAATCAACTAAACCATTTTGATATACTGACAGGTTTTCAAAAATGACTATTTTTGAAAATTTGATATTCATATTTTTCTTCTAAAGGGAAGGTAATGTTGCTGAAAAGAAAAAAAAGCAAATCATATACAATATCTGATACTTTTTTTGCAGTTTACAGCTGCACATTGTAAAAGGCTGCATGCATGAGTGTTTGTTGTGTGCCATTCAAGGTATTATTTCCGAAATTCTTATTCAGTTGACATTTAGCGATCAGTCTATGAGTTTTCTTGTTTTTTATTTCTCATTCCGTGCAATAGATATGAATGTATTTTAGTTCAGGAAAATTTGCCCAATGAAGGGAAGTTTTTCTACTTTTGGCAAAAAACAAAACAAAGCAAGAACTAGTTCTAGAACTTTTATGAAAGAGACAGGTTTGAGGTTTGACATGATGAGAAGTCAATAAAGAAGGAATGCCACAGAAAGGATTGCCTCAACAAAGGAATTTGGTTCGTCGGGGTGACATACATTTGGCAATGTTTTTATGTACTTCTATTTACTGCTTCACCACTAGCTTACAACAAGGAAGAAAAATAAGATGGTGCAAGCAGAAAGTTAAGCATGCATTTGGTTGAAGCAATAGAAGCATTGGTAGGTTACATTAATAATGATTCTTTATCTCTACAGTTCTCTAAGCTTAAAGAAATGAAGCTGAACCTAAACATAAATGATTTCAATGACCCATTTCAGCTAGAATTGTCCCGTAATTTCACTTCTGAGGCTACAAGTAAAGTACTAGAGCAGTATGAGAAGTTTCAAAATGTAAGTTATCAAGTCACTTCCACTCCTAATCTTATGTTGTAGTTTCACCAAGATCACAGTACAGTGTTTCATTGTGCTTGACTTCTTGCACATGTGCTTTTTATAACCAGTACTCTCTGCCTTGCGCACATATTTTAGCAGTGCGTGACTTTACTAAGCAAGATCTTTTTGACAAGGCTTGCATACCAGACAGGTGGTGCAAGGATCATTTCCTGAGTGACAGCTGCACAACCACTAGTGCCACACCAGTGGTAACAAGCAGCATTCAGTCACCACTTTGTGTGAAGCTTGACACCGCACAAGAGAAATATACTTATGCTTATAGAAGTCTTTGCGAAATGTCAAAAACCGTGGCTAACGTATTATCTAATTGTGGTGAAAAAGAGGTAATGGAAACACTTTCGTCCTGCGAGGCTTTCTTCAGAAATTTAACCACATTTCCTCGTAACCAAACTTCAGCAGCCATAAAGGCTGCACCAGCTCAGTTTGCACAAACTACTCCCACAAGTTCTCTTGTACATCTTAACAGTACAAAACTTGTCGTGCCTTTGTGTAAAGCAAGAGGGGGCGGCCAAAAAAAGTGAGAACTGTCAAGCGTAAATTTTTCCCAAATCAAGTAAAGAAGGTAGGCCTTGCGATGGTTAAAGTAGACATGCTAAATGCCTACAAACGGTATGCTCTTTCAGATGCAGATTTAAATGATCTGGTACAGGGCACCCCATATCAGATAGCGTAATCAATGTCGCACAGTATTTAATTCAGAAAAAATACACTAATTGTGTCAGCTTTCACGATGTCTTACTGGGCCGATGTTTACAATTCACTCAAATCAAAGGCCCTTTCGTTCAAATCTTGCATGTTCAGAACCCCAATCATTGGCTTACAGTAACAAATGTTGGTGCGGACAAAAACACAATCTTTATATATGATTCAATTGATCAAGATACCCATCCTGACGCTGTTAGGCAAATCTGTCATGTTCTAAAATACATTCGCCAACATTACCCATTCAAACAATGAATGCACAAGAGAGAGAGAGAGATAAAGATACAAGGAAAGGCAGGGAGGTTAACCAGACGCACATCCGGTTTGCTACCCTGCACTGGGGAAGGGATAAAGGGGAGAAAAGAGGTTGCACAAAGATGAGAAGGTACACACAATCACGAGCACACTCGGGGAGCACACACAGTTCACAGGCGCTCGCTCGGGTTTGTTGATTTAAGGTAAAGAAGCAGTGCTTTAGTTGCTTTCTGCGCAACTGAGGCAGATACCCAAGGTCCTAGTATCTTCTGCACACAAAATGGTCGGGGTCAAGTCGATTACAAACCATCCGTAGCTGGCATCGCTGTGTGTCGTAGCAAGCGCAGCTGCAGAGGACGTGTTCGATGGTTTTTTTCATCTCTGCAGTAGTCGCATGTAGGAGTGTTTTGCCATACCAATGCGAAAGGAGTACACCTTTGTGAATGCAACACCCTACCAAAGGCGGTATAACAGTGTCGCATCGGAGCGGGAAAGTTGTGATGGTAGCTTTAGCTTGAGCGAAGGATCCAGTTCATAAAATTGACACCTTTGGAAGCTGGTAGACGACCAGAACGTGCGTGTGAGATCTCGAGCCAGCAGGTAAAGTTGTCTTGCTGCATCATTCCTTGATAGAGGAAGCGGGACTACACGGGTTTCTTCATGGGCTGAGCGGGCTGCATCATCGGCTAGTTCATTTCCGGTAATACCGATATGTCCAGGCTGCCATTGATATATAATATCATGCCCTCGTGCTAGAGCTTCATGATGGCAATGTCTTATTTCGTGTACCAGTTGGTCATGGCTCCTCCTACGCATGGCAGACTGCAAACTCTGAAGCGCTGCCTTCGAATCAAAGAATATGACCCATTTTCCTGGACGTTCTTGAACGAGATATTGTAAAGCAGCCCTTATAGCAGCAAGCTCTGATGCCGTAGATGTAGTCATATGCGACAACTTAAACTTGATTGTCATTTCTTCAGCCGGAATTACAGCGGCACCTGATGAGCTGCTGGATGAGACGGATCCATCAGTGTATATCTGCGTTCGGTCTAAGTACAACTCATGTAATAATAGCAGCGTTGCTTGCTTCAATGCTACTCTGGAGTGACTGCTTTTCTTTTTGATTCCCGGAATTTATAGACGTACTTGCGGCTGGTCGAGGCACCACAAAGGGCATTCCGTTCTCGCAGCTGGCGTATATCCTTATGGAATGCTGTTTAGGTGCCTGGCTATGACGTCTGAAAACGTAGCACGTGGTCTTCCGGAAGGTAGAAGGGCCAAGTGGTGGTCGGAGACACGGCTAGCATGTCGAATGTGCGCTTTGAGGCAATCCACAGCTATATATGTCCTGACCGGATGGTCTTTGGCAAGCATGATTGTGGCATAAGTAGAAGCGCATAGGGGCAGTCCTAGGCAGATACGCAGTGCCTGACCCTGCAAGCTCTCCAATGAATGAGTATTCGATTTGCAAGTGTTAGTCAGTACCGGCAAGCTGTAGCGCAATAGACCCAGAAATAGGGCCCTGTACAGCTGTAGCATGGAGGCCACAGAAGTTCCCCATGCTTTACCGCAAATGAATTTCATGATATGCACAATAGATAGCAGTCTCTTCTTCAAGTACGTACAATGTGGGCTCCACGAAAGACTTCTGTCGATTATTATGCCCAGGAAACGATGCGTCCGTGCATATTTGACACTCTGCCCATTGATGTAAACAGGGTATGGCGTCATTGGTTTGCGTGGTAAACGCCATCAACGCGCACTTCACAGTTGATATATTTAGGCCTTGTTTCTGGAGGTAGGCTGTTGTGAGGGTTGCTGCCCGCTGTATTCGTGCACGCACCTGAGGGCGAGTAACTGCAGCACTCCAGAGGCAAATATCATCGGCGTATATGGATAGGCACACCGACTTTGGCAGAACCTTCACCAGACCAATGAGGGCCACATTGAACAATGTGGGGCTTAAAACACTCCCTGAGGTACTCCGCAGTAGGTGTAATGTTGGGCAGTTGTACCCTCATATGTTTGTACAAAGAAACCTCTGCCAGTTATATAATCTTTTATTCATTGAAACATTCGTCCACCAATGCCCATTGCTGCGAGAGAAGTGAGGATGGCATCGTGAGCTACATTATCATATGCACCCTTAACGTCAAGAAAGAGTGCCACTGATATGCGCTTGCGACTTTTTTTCTTGTTGAACAAATGTCGATAAATCAAGGACACAGTCAATGGAGGAGCGGCCCCGACGAAAGCCTGCCATGCAAGAAGGGTATTTGGTGTATCGTTCCAAGTACCACTCGAGACGAAATAGAACCATATATTCTTTCCATCACTTTTCCGCCTTCATATAAGGCTTTCGTCGGGGCCGCTCCTCCATTGACTGTGTCCTTGATTTATCGACATATGAAGGCACAAAACCAGTGCAATACACTTGACTGTGGCTTGTCGCACAGTATTTAATTCAGAAAAAATACACTGATTGTGTCTGCTTTGAAGATGTCTTACTGGGCCGATGTTTACAATTCACTCAAATCAAAGACCCTTTCATTGAAATCTTGCATGTTCAGAACCCCTATCATTGGCTTACAGTAACAAATGTTGGTGCGGACAAAAACACAGTCTTCATATGATTCAATTTATCAAGATACCCATCCTGACGCTGTTAGGCAAATCTGTCATATTCTAAAATACATTCGCCAACATTACCCATTCAAACAATGAAGGCACAAAACCAGTGCAACACACTTGACTGTGGCTTGTTGCAATTGCTAACATGTATTATATTGCACCAGGCAGAAAACCGGAAACTTTGAAACCTTAACCAAGTTATGCTACGCAAACATTTGCTGCAATTCATACAGAATGGTATGATCAAAGACTTTCCCCTCATAAACTCCATGGCTGCTCGCGTACAGCCAAGAGATAGTATTTACAAGTTACATTGTGTCGGCCGGCAACCACAATATAGTAGGGTAGTATTGGACATTACTTGTGCAAGTTGTTCAAGAGGATTTCACGGAGCTTGTCTCAGCTCTTTAGCAGCTAACTTGGACACAAAAGTATTCGTGTGTTCTAAGTCATGTTTGCGGGTTGCCAAAGAAAAGATACATTCTCCTAATTAGAAATAGCATTCCATTTTGGTGTAGACATATGGCAAAATTTCTAACCATTCTTCATGTGTCCTCCTTTATTTTTGCTTTTATTTAAAGGGCCACTCCGCGGGTTTTACGATTTTGAGCTGACAAGTGCAATGCGTACATCGGGAGTTATGGTCACGTCTGCCAAACATTGCAACTCTATGCGCCGCGAAAATGGGTCAAATTTGTAGACGAACGCTTCTCCCCGTTTCTTCACGGGGCGCGCCCCCAGAAAAGGAGGGTATGATGTGCACGTATGAATCACCCTACATACACAGCAGTGCAGTGACGTTGGTCCTCTATGTAGACGCCTGTGCTCTGACGCTGCCAACAGTGGCACGCGACATGGCGGAAAATATTTACGTGACATGTGTAGTTAATGTAATTTGTTGCTTGAAGAGGTTAATAAAACTTGGGAACATATTGAGACGCAATACAAGAATTTGTTTGTCTTTTTAATTTTTTCCCCGTGATTTGCAACGAGATGCCGGGCTAATGTGCCGGCGTTTGGCATGCGTTCGTGTTTCTGCGAGAACAGCATCAAGCAGGCGCCTGTCCTGGAAAAGAAAAAAAATGGTCCTGCGCATTCGAGAACTCATTATGCTCATCTTTTCAACCG